AGATCTTCGTTCTGCTCACATCGCTAATTGTGTCTTCAACAATTTTTTGTCCTATACCGCCATCATGTTGAACATTGTGACAATCCATGCGATAAGAAAAGCTTCGTCGGTGCCAAAGACTTTAAAAACATTGCTCCTGAGTCTTGCTGTTTCTGATCTTGGTGTTGGTTTGTTAGGTCAGCCTTTATACACCTCTGTTCTGGCAAAATTGTTACAAAAACAAAACCCTGGCTGTCATACCTATTTGGTTTTTGGATTCATTGTAACTGTGTTTTTGTTCGCCTCTTTCTTCGGTGTTGTGACCATAAGTGTAGACAGGTTCTTAGCGATTCATCTTCATCTCAGATATCAGGAACTTGTGACTCACAAGCGTGTTGTTACTGTGGTGATCTCCATATGGCTACTTAGTGTATTCCTTTCTTTGACGCCGTCCTGGATTTCGCTCGATATCTACTCACTTATTAGTTTATTTCTTGACGTTATTGGTTTTCTTCTTACGACCGTGGTTTACATCAGAATTTATTTTGCCGCAAGACGTCACAAGAATCAGATTCAGACCCTGCAAGCACAGGGAGGAGCAGAGAATGGCGAAATGACAAATTTTGCTAGCCTTGTTAAATCTGCAGTCGGTGTTTTCTACGTATATCTCGTGTTTTTGGTTTGTTATTTGCCTTTCTTTATCAGTGTGGCAGCCGTTGCAATCAACGGCTCCAGTATTTCCTTAAAGAGATTTTCCCTTTTCTCATGGACTCTCTTATTTCTTAACTCATCGTTGAACCCACTAATTTATTGCTGGAAGATGAGACACATTCGACACGCTATCATGGACTTATTGCGGAACATGCCATGGTTCAGAAATCGCGGAACACGCTAATCTTAAGGCCAACCACCTTCAGTGTTTTTTATCAGTGTTCAATCCAGTAATTTACTGTTTTAAGATGACACAACAACATTCAGTAGGCTATCATTAACATTCTGCCGGGGGAAATGTAGAAATTGCACATCACTTTCCATAAGTAGCAGTTTAAAACCATCCAAAGAACTGCTTTAAAATGGTCTCCCTTTCACATTTGTTGGTACATGGTTAGGGAACATCGATGTAATTTGTTGTTGGTTTTAGCTTTTTGGTTTATCAGTTGTCTCTAAAGTTTTCCTATATATGGAGGCACCCTTAAGATTGTAATTTTTAATTGATTATAATGTCAATAAACATGGAGATATTCTAACTTGAGTTAGATTTGTTGTGGCTATTAATATCATTTTGATTACTGCAAAAGCTTTTTATCCTCGGTCTTATAGTTAGTAGAAGTTTCACATCATACGGTATTGATTCCCTAAAACAATCTGCTCCTACAGGAAACGCGTTTCGGGAGCACGCCACATGCGCAGTACATGACACTGGCAGCAGTTTGCAGGTTTACCATCGATCAACTTTCTGAACACATTGTCCTTCCCTTTTTTTCCTTTGAAAATATTAAACGACTTTAGTCGTGAAATTTCTTGTATGCAGGTACTAACTTGTTTTCGACCAACATCCTTAGTATGTATAGGTAAGGATCTTTTTTCCGTTGTATTCGTAGCGATATCTCATTTACCACGTCCAAGAAATCCGAAATTGAAGAGAGTTTTTTAGGTTTTCGCAAAACATATGACATGGTTAATAGACAGCATGCACACATAGATAAAGGCTAGTGACATTTTCCTTCTTGGTTTTAATGTGATCAGTAACTCACTGACTGACGTATATGCAATCAGCTGTTTCATCTCAATTGGTCAGTTAATATCGCTTGTCAAACTCATTTGTCCTCAAAATTTATAATATTTATAATATGAAAGAGCGAGTTCTAAAATAATCTTTTAAAAAAAATTCGATTGATGTCATGGTACTGAATTTATCGAAGTCTGCGAAGAACGATGGCGTTTGCTCAGATAATTTAGTCTCCATAGACAAACAAGTTACCGCATTTATTCGATTAACCACCCTGGGCGCTTATTAAATATTTGGACCTTGAGAGCGGGCACTTATTCGAAGCTGGGCGCTAATTAAATTTTTACCATTTTCAGCAGGTGTAGCGTGTTTATTCTGCAACAAAACAATAAATAGTAATGACAAAACGCGAGGATGTAACAGAGCAAGGTTTCTGTAAAATACTCGGAGAAAACTCCGTCTTCGGGGATTACTTATTAGCACTCATTCAAGTTCAGAGGGAAGGGGGATGGAGTAAGGGTGAGCGCTTATTCGAGTTTGAATGGGAGTGGTAGGGAGTGAGGTGGGGGAGGGCGTTATTCGAGGCTGGGCGCTTATTGACTTTTACTGCCTTTAGGATGGGCGCTTATTCGAGGTGAGCGCTAATATTTCGAGATGGGCGCTAGTTCGAGGTTGGGCGCTTAAGGTCATTCCCCAGTACTGCATTGCGCATCCTTACTGCGCATAATTTATGGCGTCATTAGCGCGCGTTCGTGCACGCGCACATTGAAAACATGGC